TCAAGTTAAATTAGTAACAGGACATAATAATACGTTTTCAAATTAAATTAGTAATAGAAATTTTTAAGAAGTATATTTAAAAGTAATAGGATTACATGACTAAAGATATTTACGTGTTCAATTTTATATGAATTAGACAACCCGAAAGTAATTATACTAATATGATTCCTAAAGGTAATCATGTAGAATTCCTAACGTATAGTATTATGTCCTAAAACTAATAGGATTATAAGACTAATATCTAGAATTCTAGTTATGNCTAATAGGATTATAAGGCTAATATTTAGAATTCCGGCTATATTCTTTTATTATGAGTTATTATGTTTAATATTATAAAGTTATTTTTGTAAACCGATATTGTATTCATGTTTTGATAATATAGATAGATATATGATCTTGCGAGCATACTACCCGAAGGTAGTAAGTTAGCATTGTACCCACTTTCTAATTTCCTTAAATGCCCCTAGTTTTTAACAATAAACAATAATAAAGAGAGGGGCTATTGTCTTTCCACAAAAATTAGGCTCAATTCTAACTACTATATTTCGTTTCCTTCTTCCCAATCATCCATGGTAAAACCAAAGAAGAAAGTTACTATATCCGTTAGGGACTTCCACAACCAAAGACATTTCTTCTCCGCCACCTCTCTGTAATTCCTAATCGTCATCTTCGGCATCAAGAAAAGTAGTAGTCAATCAATATCAATTAACAATAATCTATGTTTGGGAGCCTTTCTTGTTATCATAAACTGCTTCAATCCTCAAAAATCACAGATTAATCGAGATGAAAGGTACTCATTTTCAAAGACCACAGATCTAAAACCAGAGATTAAATCTTACAAAGAGAAAAAATAGAAAGACAGAATCGAGAAAGAAAAGCCAAATCGAAAACACAAATTTGAATCTTACAAAGAGAAGAATAAATAAAAGCACATAGAGGCAAAATTAAGAATCACGGCAGAGAGAGAAATTCTTGGAAAAAGACTAAAAGGCCCTTAGCTCAAATGAAGTGATCATTAAAAACTAAGGGCATTTCAGGGAGTTAGAAAGTGGGTACAAAGCTAAGGATCCTATTTATCTATTATCTCAATTTTTTAGTTTTTTTTTTTTACCTCTTTTCTATATAATAATTACACTATAATATAAGTGGGGATAACATGCAGCTCATGGTCAACATATCTCTGGTCCAAAATTAACTTACAGCTTGCCATACCACTCAATGTCTCAGGGACATGTGTGAGTTTGCTGCAACAGTAGGTCCCATTAAATTTGTAATTTAGAGGTCAAGCAAGGTTAAAGGCTATTATGATCGATAGGTCCCGTGTAAATTTATCATTCCACACATTCCTCTGTACATATTTTCTATTAGAATGATTATGTGAGCCCCACTTAAATAGCTACTATTATTGATTATCATCTCACATCCAATTCTCCCTTAAACGGCTACCCTAATTAAACATTACACTAACTACCTAATTTTAAAGTGTGTTGCATATTCTATTCTCTTGATTTAATGTTTAGAAGCAAGTAAATATTTTTTGCCTTAATATTCTGTTTTAAAAATAAGAACAAACTGAATAATTAACTATTATAACCAAGCAGAATACAAAATTATTTACTAAATCCCTTTTTCATAATAGTCTGTTTTAAAAATAAGAACAAACTAAATAATTAAGTATTCTAACCAAGTAGAATACAAAATTATTTACAAAAGGCTAATCTGTAAATATTACTATGTCATTTCAAATCAAAACTTAATTAAGTTATTCTCATTTAGTAAAAACTTGCTTCGGCAATAATAAATTTATTATGTTCTTTTTTTTAAATATATATAACAAGAAAAGAGTAATTTGATTAGGAAACGATACGAAGTCGATTTAGAATTCACAGTATTATTTTTCAAAATCTAATAACTTGATCACATGATTATTTTGAATGTTAAGTAGACATTTCAAAGTGAAACTGCTCAAACAATTACCTTTAATTCTAGCACTTAATGATAAAAGTCTATAAAAAGAAAGGATATAATCAGTATTTTTTTAGAAATATTTGTTTCTATATTTTCAGGTCCACTTCTAATGACACATATTCTTTCTTACGTTTAAAAAAAAGAAAGATATCTCATCTTATTTAATATTATTAACTAATGAATTATCAACGAAAAAAAATACTTTGTGGTTTAGATTTTTCTAAAAATTTTGGAATACTTTGTGATATACTTTGAGCATAAGATCGACAGGATGGAGCCTTCACAATTTTCATAATTCCTATTTCGTTCTTATGTAAAGTTTATAAATTGATCTTACCAAATAACTTCTGAGTTGCAGATGTATGTTGAGTACAATGACATTAAACACTATACTTTTGCAGAATATTTTAAATCACATGTCTTCTCAAATACTTGATTCAGAAGAAAGATAAAACACCCATACTTTATTTTATTGTAGCTGAAATTTAAAATCTTTACAAGCTCTTTGCAATTTGAAATATGTGTTAAGCTCACAAATACCTCTTAATAGATTTTAGTGTTGCCACGTTTTAGTTTAGGCTTCGCTAAAAGTGGAGCAAATAATCTATAGTTTCTTTAGCAAGAACACTAACAGAAATGGTAATGTAGTTGTTGCTTATGCTATTCATTTTGATAATTTCGATGGAAATAAAAATATTCATGGATCTGCTAACGTGAAGATTCATCTCGCCGTTGGGCCCGGACTTAGCCCGAGCATAACCTCACTAGTAATAATTACAATAAAGAATTGTGACAGTGAGGTAACGAAGAGTCACAAAAATTAAAGCACATAGAGTGTCTATTAAATAAAAATTTAAACAACCTATCCGTTTGCATTTCCCTAAAAAGCTAAAAAAAACGTCTATTCCTCTTCTTTCCATTAATTTTCTGAATTATTCCTCTTTATTTATCTTCTTTCCCACAAATAAGTACACGTACAATCAACTTTCTCAGAAATAACGGGGAATTCCAATCGAGACTGATTGAAAAGAATGTCTCTTTCTCCTTTTGTTGTGAATGCAAATCCAGTAAATGCTGACAGAGATGACAACCAGGATGCCACGAGAGAAGAACCCATGGGTCTGCCACGTAGGAGTTCTAGAAAAATAATTGCACCAGCTAGACTTGAGGATTACGTTTGGAAAGGTGGGGGATCACATGAATAAAATGACAGAGTTTGTTACAGAAAGTAAACTATATAAGCACCGGCAATATGACATTAAGAGGCAGGCAATTCTGTTATGAGTGAACTCTAATTCCTATCTCTTTCTTCTGATTTCTCACCTCTTTCTTCTGGCACCTCACCTCCTTATTTTATCTATCTTTAGCTCTTATTTTCTGCAATTCCTAATGTCTTATGTTAACTGGTTATGACCTTTTTCTATTTGAGTTGTAATCATATCCCCATCTTATTAATATAGCTGAATCTTTTGGTTACTGTTTCATTAACTTTGAGTTGAGAATTGAGAATACTACATTGGTGCTTTCATCCAGAGGTCTCTCATGGAGGACCAAAAAGTACTCAAGGCTTTCATCGAGGAGTCTATTCGTGATTCAATTCACGAAGTGAAGGAATCCTTTTCTAAAGAAATGGCTGAGATGCGTGGCATATTGATGGAGGTATTGTCAATCAAAGCGCCGGCGGGTAATAACCGGTGAGATCCCGCAATGGACATCGCTCGATAGGAAAATGCAACGACAACCATTCTCCGGCACAAGCCAGCCTCGGTAGAGTTCGAGCGGTTTCGTGGTGAAAACCCAGAGGCGTGGATATTTCAGGCGGAGCGATATTTTGATTTTTACCGAATTGAGGACGATCAAAGGCTGACCATGGCATCGTTCTATCTCAACGACGAAGTACTTGAGTGGTATCAATGGCTGTTTAGAAATAAACAATTAGTCGACTGCCCGCATTTTACAGAGAAGGTGCGAATTTGCTTGAAATAGAAGGGACTCGAGTCGGTAGAGGGAAGGTTAGCGAAACTTCGGCAGGTTACTACTGTATCAGAATTACAGGGCAGGTTTGAGGCCATTGCTAACGAAACAGATGATGTTTCTGAAAGGCTTATGGTGAAGCTTTTTATCTCTGGGCTTAGAGAAGATATTAAAAATTCAGTGTTAAGCCATGAGCCCAAAACTTTTGAAGAGGCCCTTACGCAGGCCCACATACACGAGCGCTGGATCCAAGCTGAGAAAGGACCAGTCCGACCCGCTTTGGATAACAAAGCTACACCCCTGTTACCCAGCCCTACCACAGCCCAAATCATTATCCCTCTACCTCTCACAGCCCCAGCGCCACTATACCATCAAATCGTCCACCTCTCAAACGCTTGACCCATGCTGAGATTCAGAGCAGGCAAGAGCGTGGCCTATGTTATTATTGTGAGGAGAAGTACACTGTCGGACTCAAATGTAAGACTCCCCCTCAGCTTTTACTTCTCACCAACGAGCCTGAAAATGACTCGCCCCTACTAGAATCTTTTGTTTCTGATGATATTTTGGGCAAGGAGATACAATGGTTGGAGGTACAAGAGCACTCTGCCATCTCCTATCATGCCTTAACGGGAGGACACTCACCTTCCAATCTCCGCTTCACTGGTCAATTGAATGGTTCCCAAATACAGATTCTAGTCGATGGAGGAAGTACTCACAACTTCATCCAGCTGCGGGCAGCAAAGTTTTTACAACTTCCAATTGAGACCATTCCAACAATATCTGTCATGGTAGGCAGTGGACAACGTCTGCAGTGTGATGGAGTTTCCCGACAAATGACTCTTATGATCCAAGAAAGTTCATTGGTGGAAGACCTCTAACTATTCCCGTTTCATGGTTCAGATGTTGTATTGGGGGTAGCATGGCTTGCTAAATTGGGACCTGTGCTGACTGATTATGCTACAAGGATATTTGAGTTCTCCTTGAACGGGTCTAAGGTATCTTGGCAGGGAAATTCACCAAAAGATGTGTAACCGATACAATTACACAGTTTGAGAAGGATGGCGGCTACCGATGCTATTGCTTCCTTCTTCTGCATGGAAGTGGTAAATGGGGAGAAGACGTCGTTGGAGGAACCTGTGGCTAATTTGGCATCCCTTTTAGATTCCTTTAAGGATGTGTTTCAGAAGCCAGCATGGCTACCCCCTTCACGTGTACAGGATCATGCCATACATCTTAATCCAGGAGCACAACCGGTGAATTTCAAACCATATCGGTATCCCTATTTTCAGAAGCAAGTTATGGAACAACTTGTAGCTGACATGCTCAGAGAGGGAGTCATCAGAACCAACACTGGTCCTTTTTTTCTCCTGTGCTTTTGGTGCGCAAGAAGGTTGGAACATGGCAGTTTTGTGTAGATTATCGGTCTTTGAATGCATTAACTATACGCGACCGCTTCCCAATCCCTACCATAGATGAACTGTTTGATGAGTTGAACGGGGCACAATTCTTTTCAAAATTGGACTTGCTCTCTGGTTACCATCAGATACGAGTCTGACCTGAAGATGTCGCGAAGACGACATTTTGCACTTATGATGGGCATTACGAATTCTTCATAATGCCGTTCGGGCTTACCAACGCTCCTTCAACTTTCCAAGAAACTATGAATGACATTTTCAGGCCATATTTACGGCGTTTTATCTTGGTTTTTTTCGATGATATATTGATCTATAGCTCAACTTGCAAAGCTCATTTGGAGCACCTGAAGCTTGTATTAGTTCGGCTTAGGCAACATCAGTTAGTTGCCAAACGATCAAAATGTCTATTTGGTCAGTCATCGGTGGATTATTTGGGACACATAATTTCTGCCAAGGGAATGTGTGTAGATCCTGTGAAGATTGTTACTATCCAGCAATGGCCTTCCCCTCGTACAATGAAGGAGGTACGCAGCTTTTTAGGATTAGCCGGCTATTATTGGCGTTTCATCCACCACTATGCTGCAATAGCCGGACCGTTATTAGATCTATTAAAAAGGGACTCTTTTAAATGGAGTGAGGCTGCACAACAGGCTTTTGAAACATTGAAGCTCAAATTAGGATCCACACCGGTCTTGACCTTACCAGATTTTAGTCAAGAATTTCAAGTTGAAACAGATTCGTCTAGCCAAGGGATTAGGGCCATTTTATCGCAAAAGGGGCACCCCATAGCTTATTTCAGCCAGAAGTTGAGTTCTCGCATGCAGAAGGCGTCGACCTATCACAGGGAAATGTTCGCCATTACCCAAGCAGTGAGCAAGTGGAGGCAGTATCTTTTGGGACGGAGATTCACTATTTATACTGATCAACAACCCTTGAAAAATCTGACCAACCAAACTATACAAACGCCTGAGCAGCAGAAATGGCTCACCAAACTGGTTGGTTATGCCTTTCGCATAGTGTATAGGCCTGGAAAACAAAACACAGTAGCTGATGCTCTTTCCCGCACACCAGATGCATTATTAATGGTTTTGTCTGTTAAGACCCTTGCAATTGAACAAGAAGTGAGAGATTTGAATCAGAAGCATCCAGAGTTAGTCGACATACGACAACGGTTGCAGCTTAATGAGGAGGGCTTCATGCACTATCAGTTCAAGGATGGGCTACTTTTTTTTAAAGGAAGGATGGTTATTCCTTCAGATTCACACCTGCATCATAAACTTATGTTTGAGTTCCATTCCACAGCAATTGGGGGACATGCAGGGGTAGCTCGCACATATCACCGACTAGCTTACAATTTCTTTTGGAGACAAATGCGTAGAGATGTTCAGTCCTTTGTAGCTACTTGTCAAACTTGCCAGCAAATGAAAGACACTCATCTGCACCCAGCAGGTCTATTATAGCCTCTCCCGATCCCCGATCAGGTGTTTGAAGACATAGCTATGGATTTTGTCACTTGCCTTCCAAGCTCTCGCGGAAAAATGACCATCATGACAGTAATTGATCGCTTGACTAAGTACGGGCATTTTATTCCCCTGCCCTCCACATTTTCTACTCATTCGGTGGCTGAAGCTTTTGTTCTTGGAGTAATTAGGCTTCACGGACCACCAAGAACTATTGTAACAGATCGGGACCCTAGATTTCTACACTCTTTTTAGCAAGAGATTAATCGTTTACAAGGGTCAACCTTGGCAATGAGCACTGCCTACCACCCACAATCCGATGGACAATCTGAGGCCCTAACAAATGTGTTGAGCAGTATCTTCACTACTATGTGGCTGATGTGCCTTCTCACTGGGTGGCCATGCTACCTTGGACTGAATATTGGTATAACACGTCCTTTCAAACTTCAGCAGGGATGACTCCCTTTCAAGCTTTGTATGGGAGCGAACCTCCAACAATTGCTCGTTACATATTAGGCAGCACGACTAGTGAACGGGTGGAATCCTATATGATGCAAAGAGATGAAGTACTACAGTTGCTAAAAACCACTTGGCAAAGGCACAAGCTCGCATGAAAGCCTTTGCGGACAAGTCCAGAACTGAAGTGGTCTGTCACGACCCAAAACCTAACCCGTCGTGATGGCGCATATCGTGGTACTAGGCAAGCCGACATATTTCCAATACACATCGATATTCTATTTAAAAGATAAGTCAAAGTTTTACTTTACTAGAATCTTTATTAAAGAGTTGAAACCAAAATAAAAATATAATGCTAAAAGATAGCCCGACATCGGGGTGTCACTAAGTCATGAGCAACTACTACAAACTGTCTGATAATATCAAGACTAGCATAGTCCGGGAAAAACCAATACAACTAAGGGGAAGATAAGGAAGGAGAAAAACAGGGCTGCGATCTCCAGGAAGCTACCTTGCTATCTTTGATGATCCGCTACTGAATATATCAACAACCGCTACCATGGCCAGAAATGCCTGGATCTGCACACAAGGTGCAGGGAGTAACGTGACTACACCAACTCAGTAAGTAACAACAATAAATAAGGGCTGAGAAGTAGTGACGAGCTAGATGCAAGTATAGTTCATATCACAAAAATTCCGTAAAGTACATCATGCTTTAAAAACCAGTGTTTAAGTCAAATCGGCTTGTTTAAATCCAGCTCAGGTAAAACCAATAAAAATATATGTCAACAATTCGCAAACAAGGACTCAAAGCAGCTATGAGCACACCGCATGAAATCATATATTGCCCCTCAGGAAAAACATCACTCAGTCCTCCCAATCACTCCAACCTCACAATCACTCATGCCTCCCAATCGCTCATGCTTCCCAATCACTCAGAACTCGGGACTCAGTAGGTACCTGCGCTCACTGGGGGTGTGTACAGACTCCGGAGGGGCTCCTTCAGCCCAATCGCTATATCAAGCCAATCATGGCATAAATCAATGAGGCCCTTAGCCTATATCAAACATGATACAGCATGCAGCTCGATCCCATAAATATCCTAAAAAATCAGGCCCTCGGCCTTACTCAGTAATAAACCTCTCCAGCCTCTAGGGCTCTCAGAAAACAAAGTATTCAGCCCAAACAACATTTATATGATGCATCAAAATAGAGTAATAGAGACAAAGTTATGCTGTAAATAAGTATAAACATGACTGAGTATAGATTTTCAATCAAAAACAATGAGAGGAAAGCAAGAAAAGACCTCTAAGGGTCCAAACGACACTGGCATAAGGCCTAAACATGGCATCCACCCTGATTTACAGAAATTCTTTCTAAAACACATAAGATTCATATAGTTTCAACAAAATATTCAACTTTACAGTTGATACGAGACGGACCAAGTCACAATCCCCAACAGTGCACGCCCACACGCCCATCACCTAGCATGTGCGCCACCTCCAAATAGTAAAATGATACAAAATTCTGGGGTTTCATACCCTCAGGACCAGATTTACAATCGTTACTTACCTCAAATTGATCAAATCCCTACTCCGCGATGCTCTTGCCCCTCGATTCGGCCTCCAAATGCTCCAAATCTATTCACAATCAGTAAAATACCATCAATTTATGCTAAAGGAATGAATTCCAAAAAAAAAACTACCAATTTAGACCAAAAACTCAAAATTGGCTCAAACCCGGCCCCTGGGCCCACGTCTCGAAATCCGACAAAAATTATAAAACTTGAAAGCTCATTCACTCATGAGTCCATACATACAAATGTTATCAAAGTCCGACACCGTTTGATCCATCAAACTCAACAAAATCCTAAGCCCTAACCCCTCATTTTCACCCCTAAATTCCACTAATTAAATGATTAAACAACGAAAAATCACCATAGATAGGAGTATTAAAGCTCAAGCAATTTACCTCAATGAAACCCCCCTGAATCTCTCTTTAAAATCACTCCAAAAGCTCCAAACACCGACTTGAAAATGGTGGAAATGAACCAAAATTCGCGAAGTGTTATTTTTATAATTTATGCCTAGGGCTTTCGCACCTGCGGTGCCGCATCTGCGTGAGAAACTCCGCACCTGCAGAAAATCATTAATTCCCCCAACTTCGCACCTGCGCTCCATATCCGCATCTGCGACCACGCAGGTGCGAAAAAGACCTCACACCTACGGACGTTGTCTGACCTCTTCACTTCTGCTTCTGCGGGCACCTATCCGCATCTGCGGACCCGCAGATGCGACCTCCCTTACGTACCTACGGACCCAGCCTACTTCAACTCCGTTCGCACCTGCGAACTCCCGCGCGTGCATGCGACCTCGCTCCTGCGGCTCCCCATCCACTGGTGCGGAAAACACTAGTAGCCTCAACACCAGCAGAAACAGAAACACTCAACACCAAAAATCAATCCGTTAGCCATCCGAAACTCACTCGAGACCCTCGGGATCTCAACCAATCACACTAACAAGTCATATATCAACATACAAACTTAGTCGAACCTTCGGAACACTCAAAATGACATCAAAATACCAAATTACACTCGGATTCAAGCCTAAGGACTTCTAAACTTCCACATTCCACCAATGATGCCGAAACCCGCTAAGCCACGTCCGAATGACCTCAAATTTTACAATAAGTCAAAAATAACACCACGAACCTATTCCAACTTCCGGAATTTCACTCCGACCCCGATATCAAATTTTTCACTGCCGACCAAAATCGCTAAATTTCCAACTTTCGCCAATTCAAAACTAATTCTACCACGGACCTCCAAATCAAATTCCGGACACGCTCCTAAGTCCAAAATCACCTAACGGAGCTAGCGGAACCATCAAAATTCAAATTCGAGGTCGTTTACATATAAGTCAATGTTTGATTGACTTTTCCAACTTAAGCTTCTACTTTAGAGACTAAGTGTCTCAATCCACTCCGAAATCACCTCGGACCCGAACCAACTAACTCGATATATCATAATACAGCTAAAAATAACAAAAGGAAGCAGAAATGGGGAAAATGGGGCTATAACTCTCGAAACGACCAGCCGGGTCATTACATCCTCCCGCTCTTAAACAACCATTCGTCCTCGAATGGGTCTAGAAACATACCTGGAGTCTCAAATAGGTGTGGATATCTGCTCCTAGTCTCCCGCTCGGTCTTCCAGGTGGCATCCTCCACAGGCTGACCTCTCCACTACACTTTCACTGACGCTATATCCTTTGACCTCAACTTCCG